CTAGAAAGGGGGTGTCTGCCAATGACTGTCGGAGGCCCTGCGGACGTACAAGTTCTTCTGGTCACTTAAGGAAGAAATAGACTTAGTATCTTGGCCTGCTCAGGTGTATGTGGGGGAAGTTAATGGGGAGCAGGGCTGAAGTGGCTTTGTAACTAGTTTCAGGAGCCTAGAGTAAGACGGCACGCTTCTGAGTAGACAACCTCTATTGTCTTGTTATTGATAAAGCATGTTTTATTTTTCTTTATATAGAGGTGGCAGAGAGGTTTGGTTTTTTCCCCTAGCTTTGTTTCCCTGTGTGTGTTTCCTGTTTATTTCTGTTGCTTTGACCCATCCCTTCCTAAATACTATAGAACTCTAACAGAACTAAGGACTTGTTAGACTAACAAATGAGGGTTCCAGGATTCTTGTTTTTCATCTAATCACTCCTGCTGACTTTCTTAATAGGCATACGTCCTCCTATTGTGAATGGCCCAATGCCAGCACGGCCACTGGTTGCACTCCTGGATGGACGAGATTGCACTGTGGAGATGCCCATTTTGAAGGATGTTGCTACAGTGGCATTTTGTGATGCTCAGTCAACTCAGGAAATCCATGAAAAGGTGGGCAAGAACGTGTGCAAGCATTTGGATGTAGAGCTCTGCCTCTTAGTGTAACCAAAGCAGAGATTGATTTGGACTGGTTTTTGTTGTAGGTGCTGAATGAGGCAGTAGGAGCTCTGATGTATCACACCATTACCCTTTCTCGTCAGGATCTGGAGAAATTCAAAGCCCTCAGGGTCATTGTGCGTATTGGCAGTGGCTATGACAATGTTGACATCAAATCCGCTGCAGAATTAGGTATGATGACACCATTAGGGCTCTGTTACAATGAGAACTGAATGTGAAGTGGAACACTGCACGTGTTTTTCTGTTGTGTACCTGAGTGCATTTAAAACCTTGTATGTAAAAAGATTTGGAGATGCTTAGTATCAGGCATCTTTAGGAAGCTGACCAATACGGGAGGTGGTAGGTGGCTTGAAAGAGAGATTCTCAGATTGCTCTGCAATCTGACTATGTGGGATTCAGAAACCTGAATATGGTCTCTAGGTAACTTTTGGTGAGGTGGCTTTGGGTTGTTTGTGGGGAAAGAAGTGAGCAAGCTCTGTCTGAAAGCAGCCTGCAAATGCTGATGCAGGATAAACTCACTGTAAATGCTTGATAAGTGAGTTTTCATGTTAATTTTTTTATATGCAGGTAGGTTCTGATTCAACACTTTATTACTGATCCCTTTAGAGCCCTAGGCATGTGAAGAGTCTCTGGATCAGGTGACGAAAAGCTGCTATTTATTAAACGTATGACAGGGAGACTTTTGGACCTTGTAGTCTCCTAGGTGAGGTGGATCATCTAAGTACCCTGCCCTTTCTTTTTTAGGTTTGTGTCAGTGATTTGAAACCTTACTTAATGTAATGCAGATTGGATTAAGTTTAAATCAAATGCAAATATTTATATATGAAATTGAAACAGGCATTACATTTTCTAGATCTGTAAGAACAGATGCATTGCAAATAAACGAACAGTGCATATTTGTGTAGTGCTTGAATTAGGTCTAAAGAGTCTTCTCATCTGAATGATTCAACTGAGTAGTCTCAAGAGTTCCTGGCAAGGTCTTTGACTCTCATCCGGCCATTACATTTTTGGGCTGAGTTTGGAACTTACTTTGCTCTTAGGGTTCTCTGCGTAAAGTCACCATCCATGTCTTTGATTGATTCAGATTGAAAACCTTCCCTTTCCCCTCACTCCACACTCATTAACCCAAGGAGAAATCGGTCAAAGTTCTTTCACCATGAGACTGCTGCTTGCTACTTTTGCTTTGGAGCAATAGTATGATGACCCTTATGCATGGCCAGATTTGATTTTTTCATGGACAATTATTGATTATTTTCATGCTTAGCCAGGCTCTTTAATTCATTCTGAGGTAAGATACTGTTCCTTACATGTTCTGAGTCTTCAAATCAAACCAAAGGGCTGTTGTATGTGTTTGCGTTTTCTTACGTTTAGGCATAATATTGCATGTAAACACAAATTTGAGTCTAGCTGCGTAAAAGATGAGTGCATGTAGCTTGTCTGAAGTTGAATGAGATGGTAACCAGTGAGATGAGAAGAAGTTAGGTTTCCCTATCTCCCCATCTCATGTCCTCTGAGTCGTCTGTGTGGCATTATGGCACAAGTGCAAAGGATTTGACAGAGAAAAGGAGTCAGATATCTGGGACTGTGTGTGGCCATTGCTCTCCTAGTTCTCTTGGGAGAGCATGGTCTGAGTTTAGTCGAATGTCTCCTATGTAATAGGTTTACAAGAGTGACACATTGCTGAATTTTATGTGCCTTCTACCATTGCCTAGATTTTATTCCTAGTTTTTAGGTAGGAAGTGGACTTTTGAGGAGGAAGAGTTTCCTTGGTTTGGCAAGTGGCTGGGGTTACGTTTGGGAAGAGACCATTTTTTCACCTAGTTATTTTTATTTCTTGGCTGGTTTGCTGAATGAAGGATAGCAGCAGTGAAGCGGTATGTTGCCAGCCCCCATTTCCCTTCCCCTCTTCCCCCCCTCCTTTTTTTTTTTTTTTTTTTAATAGGCTGCTCAGGAATGACCAGATTTTGCTACAGTGTTCATCTTTGCCATTCCTGACAGCAATTTGTGCTTCCAGGACTTAAACTCTGTTTGCGTTAGTAATTTACCTGATAATTCTAGCCACTGGCTTTATGGTCCCTTGTGATTGTATGTTATTCTAGAGTGGGAGTGCTTATGTGTTGTTATTTTTAAGTGTAACTTCAAATGGATTTAGAGAGGCTCCTGTGGCTTTTCTTTGCCTTTAATGAGGTAGTTACTTATTGTTGCTCTTGGGGAAGCTGATGCTTGCAGTGAGCATCTGGACTGCAAGGCATGAAAGAGCTCAACCATCTGTCTTAATTCTTCTACAGTCTGTCAGTTAATCTGTCAGGAGTATCTCTGGAGCAAGTGCATTTTTTTGGATGCAGATCATCTAAAACAGTCAGTTTCTAGCATCACTTGAATGACCCGGTTTTCTCATTTCAGCCTTTCTCCCCTGCCCTGCTGTGTGTCAATCAAAGGGATATTTACAAGGAAGGAATGGTATTTCCTTGGGGTTAAAAAGCAGGCTGGTTGCAGCTGGCTGGTCGCATCTGTGTTGCTGTAGAATGAGCCTCTGAAATGAGTCCTGTGTTTCCTGGCGGTAGTTCTGGAGCACTGAATTATCTTTCAGCACTTACGCTTTAAGAGCTCTATGTTTGTTTAGCGTTGTGATGCTAAAAATCTTATATGACCTCTGTGGCTTTGTAGGCATTGCAGTTTGCAACATCCCTTCTTCCTCAGTAGAGGAGACTGCTGACTCCACCCTCTGCCACATCTTGAACCTCTATCGCCGTGTTACTTGGCTACATCAGGCTATGCGGGAAGGGAATCGAGCCTCAAGTGTAGAACAGATTCGAGAGGTGGCTGGAGGCGCTGTGCGTATCCGTGGGGAGACTTTGGGCATCATTGGACTAGGTAAGTGATGGGAATTGTTAAATTGAAAAGTGAACTGTGAAAGTTTTTGGGAACCTAAGAGTCACAGACTGAAAAAAGTGATAATTTTACAGCTGTTCATTGTGAAACACACTGACTCATAAGGAATACTAGTGCCCTATTCTGTGATGCTGGATATCTTCAAGAGTTGGGTGTATGTCATGGGATTGGGGAATTTTTTTTGTATTCAAATGGCTAGAAGAATTGGAACATTCAGATAGCTCTTCTTGGTGACTGTTTCCCTGTGTGCTAGGCTCTGTATCAGTAACAAAGCCACCTGAAAGCTACCAATTCCTTCTCCAAGTTCTTGTAATCAGATTATTACTGCCTCTGACTCAGGATCCAGATTTGGTTTGAAAAACAGAGCTCCTTCTAGGCTAAGCTCTGGCTATTGCATGGGGAAGGACTAGAATTAGCCACATGGGATCAGCACTGAATAACCTCCTCTGGATCCCTATGGCAATCCTAGGGGTTTCCAGGGCTGCAATACCTTGGGCCCTGGCAGTAAACTCCAGTGTAGGCTCCTAGTCTATCCCAGTATCTTGTCTTTAAAGTTTGTTTTACCTTTCCTTGATGATTGTGGGTTTTCTTTTGTGAAGGCCGAGTTGGACAGGCAGTGGCTCTGCGAGCCAAGTCCTTTGGCTTCAACGTGATTTTCTATGATCCCTATCTGCCGGATGGAGTGGAGCGATCCTTGGGTTTACAACGAGTAGGAACCCTGCAGGATCTACTAATGCACAGCGATTGCATCACATTGCACTGCAGCCTGAATGAACATAACCATCACCTCATCAATGACTTCACTATTAAACAGGTGCAGCAGGAGCTTGATTTCCCCCACAGAGCACTGTGGAAATGAATGCAAACAGAAACTGCTGCTTTCACAGAGGCTGAGAGCGTGTGAATCCTGCTGCCTCTGTCGTGTGCCTCCTGCTGCCTTTGGAGGCTGGTAGCGTGTGGATCCGGGTGCCTGTGCTTTGTGCTGTATAGAATTTCATGTTAAGAGAAGAGTAGGATTGGCTCTTTTTTGCCAAGTAATTTCATTTATAAAGAATGTTTTAAGTGATTCAATAACTTCAAATTACCTTTAAAATACATAATCGACTCTGCTGGTTAATGCCAGATGTGGTGTGGCTGGGTCTGTGTAAGTTTGTTTACACAGCTCTGCCAAAGCCTCTCTGCCCAAGCCCACTGCAAAGTCAGTCTCGGGCTCTACTCTGCTAGTCTATGAATGCTTTTCAGTGCTTTCATGAGAGACATCTGGACGTTGTAGTCCAGTTTTGTGTAGCTGGATACTTGATTCATGTCCTCTTTCTTTTTTAATGTAGTAGGATGAATATGGAGTGCAGAACTTGAGGGTTCCACTTTTGCCCTTGTTGTCTTGTGGTTTTGTTTGTTCATTTTTAAAGCAATTTCTCAAGCATTGCTTGCAGGCATTTCCCCTGTGGTTAGCTTTGCAGTGAGAGCACTCCTAGTTCGTCCAGGCCTCATCTAATCACTGCAGGCTCCTGCTCATTTCCAGTAGACTTCCCAAGATTCACTTAGCTTCCATGAAAAGTCTCATTCTCAACCCACTTAATATTTTTCTTCTTCCAGATGCGCCAGGGCTGCTTCTTAGTGAACACAGCCCGGGGAGGGCTGGTAGATGAGAAAGCCTTAGCACAAGCCTTGAAAGAGGGGAGAATCAGAGGAACAGCATTGGATGTGCATGAGTCTGAGCCTTTCAGGTAATGTTGTGCCTGCATGCCTGCTGCTATCTTGTGAGTCACCTATGCTGGATGATTCTTTTATTTTATTTTTGTTATTTGAGTTACAGTGATACCTGAGAGGACAGATGAGGTTATCACTTCTGGAGAGAAACCACTTTTTTTTCTTTTTCTTTTTTTTCTTCCCCCCCCACAGCTTTGCTCAGGGGCCCTTAAAAGATGCACCCAATGTGATCTGCACCCCTCACACTGCCTGGTACAGTGAGCAGGCTTCCATTGAATCCAGAGAAGATGCAGCCAAAGAGATCCGCAGAGCTATTACAGGTAATGAGGAAGACTGTGCTCTGCAGCTGCTGCTGAATTAGTATTCTTTTGTTAGTTCACTGCAACGATTATGCCGATTATTCTGAAAACTTAAGACTCAGTGGTTGGTTTCTGGAACTGGAGCGTAAGTTGGTAATTGTCTCTTTGCCTTCTGAGAATCTTGTAACTAATGCTGGAGGGGCACTTTCCCTCCCTGGGAAAGCCTTGTACCTAGTATATCTTCAAAATCCTTTGCAATAATTCCTTTGACAGTTATACTGTACACCTTTTTTCTGGAGTAGTATGTATTGTCCCTTGGGGAAGGTGAGGCATTGCAATTGCAGTTTGTGGCCAATAATTTCCACATGATCACAGAAGTGGAAAGGAATGATCAGTTTCTTGTCTTCTCCAGAGACCAGTTGTTCAGAGGAGAGTCTCCCCTGCCCTGTGTTATCCTGTGGAGGTAGATGGAAAAGGTGTTGCGCATTTCTTTTCTACTTTCCCTTGTAAATGCTTCAGGGAACGAGCCCCTCCTACTTGTGTCCTGGGCTTTTTTTTGTCATTCTTGGCACTCTTGCAGGTCACATACCTGATGCTTTGAGGAACTGTGTTAATAAGGAGTACTTGCTGTTAGCAGCTCAGTGGTCCAGTATTGATCCTGCAACTGTCCACCCAGAACTCAACGGAGCTGCAGCTTACAGGTGAGATATCTAGGTTGTCCAAGTTACTGCTTCCAAGCCTATCTTCCTACTGAAGTAGGCCAACATCCCTCTTTGGGTTTGAGATCTGCCTGTACCTGCAAGCGGGTATGTTTCTGTTCCCATATACTCTGTATATGAGCTCTTTCCAGAAACTTAACAGCAGCACCTCTGAAGCTGTACTCTAGGATTTAGCATTTACTTGGTCATATTTAGTTCCAGCTGCATACTGGTTAATTTTTCCAAATCCTTGCAAGATCTGCCCAAGAGATACCTTAATATAAGAAAGCCTGCTGGTTGCCTGAAAAGAAGTTGGATCTTAACATTTGAAGTTGTGCATATCATTAGGGCTGTATAAACAAAGCACAGTTCTTATCTGTAGCCCAGATATGGGCTATTAAAGAGACACTGCCCAGTGGATTTAGGCCGTGGTCTAAATAGGGTGTATTTCAGTTTATTTGTCTGTTACAGGCTTCCAAGTGATTGTGGGTAGGTTGCTTCCCTTCTGTTTTTCTCCCATTTGCAAAGTAGGAAACATCTTCTTTTCCCTTCTCTGAGAGATTTACAGAGCTTCATATATATTTATGGAGAAGGCACAGGGAGGCAGAATGGAAGAATGGTTCATTAGCAATTCATGAGCATTGCTCTTCCATTTTTCCTCTTATGTGTAGCTGTTTTAGTTCAGCTCCTTACTTTTTCTATCTTAGAGCCCAGTGAAGGATAATCATAGAATCATAGAATGGTTTGTGTTGGAAGGGACCTCAAAGATCATCTAGCTCCAACCCCCCTGCCACAGGCAAGGGCACCCTCCACTAGACCAGGTTGCCCAAAGCCCCATCCAACCTGGCCTTGAACACTGCCAGGGATGGGGCATCCACAGCCTCTCTGGGCAACCTGTGCCAGTGCCTCACCACCCTCACAGTAAAGAATTTCTTTCTTAACGTCTACCCTAAATCTACCCTCTCTTAGCTTAAACCCACTACCCTTTGTTCTGTCATAACTGGCAGCTTGCACACCTTCTGCTGATGGGGAAGGAATTTCCAGCCCTTCAGGGTACCTTCATACAGTGCCTCACACTGTTTCCCACTGGAGATAAACTTTGTACCTGTTTCCCAAGTGCTTAGTGTGTGACCCGAGACTCACTCTCTCTGTCTGAGAACAGGTACCATTTGGTATTGGGATATAACTGCTACTCTTCAGCTCTGTAGACTTTTCCTGTGTTCTATCTCTAGAGCATTTCTGTTAGAAAGAGGGTTTTGTATTCAGCAGGTGCCTGAGGGCATGGCTCCTGTCCCCTTGCATAATGCTGTTGGACAAGCTTGTAATTTCTATGTTTTTGTTGGTTTTAGGTTTCCTCCAGGAGTAGTGGGAGTAGCCACCCCTGGGCTACCAGAACCGCCAGTAGTGGAAGGAATTGTAGCTCATGGGATCCCTTCTGTTTCTCACTCTGCACCGCGTACCCCTTCCCCAGGAGAGACAAGCAAACTGGATGCAGACAGAGAGATTCCGGCTGACCAATAGCAGCATCTTTTGCTCCTCTGGCAGCAGAAAAAAGGAGGGTATCTCCTCCTAGGACCTTCTTTAACACCCTACAGAGACTGTTTCCTGTTCATACAGGATGGGAGAATGCATTTCATTACCGGCAAACTTTAGTTCTTGCCTTTATTTTGTAACCCTTTAGTTTTAATCTCTCAATGAATCTTTCTCCTTCTCTGGGGCAAGGCAGCAGTCACCTTGTCTCCCCTCAGAAATACTTGGTTTAACCAATGATTTTTCCCATATATCTGCTTCGGTTGTCTGTGACAGGGAACTGTCCTTGTGCACTTGAAAACAGAAGTGGAGCTCCCTGATCAGGGATGGCCCTCAGTGTTCCTAACACCAGAGTTCAGTGCACGCTTTTCAGTTGTGACTTGTAGCTTTAATTTAATTTGGCTGAACCTCTCTAAGTGTAGCCATGGGGAATATTAGAAAAATATTAGTGATTTGGAGAAGTTGTGACTATTGTCTTTATTATGCCCTTGGTAGAATGCAGTCTAGGCTCAGCTCTGTGTATTATTTTGCTTGTTATTAAGGTTTCCTATGAGAACAGACATAGTGCAGGCATTGCTAGTTCTTGACCATACAGAGTTTTGTCTGTGCAGTACTAGGCCTGAAGTTAAACGTAACAGTCTCAAAGCCAGCCTTGTAAAAAAATTTGGAAGGGATTAAAATGTCATCAAATGTGTTCTGGTGGCCACTGTGTTTGTGAGGCTTCAAGAATAGTTCACCCTAGAGTCTGTGTAACTCGGAGAAGGCAAAGAGAATGCAGAAATGGGGAAAACTTGCACTGTGAGACAGCAAGTAGCAATAACTTGCAGCTGCAGTTGCTGGTTCCTCACGCACATGTACCTCACAGTCTAATGGTGATGTTTATCCACACATTAGAATTGTAAGCTTTGTGCTACAGATTTTTTTTTTTTTGCATAACTGCATCAACTGGAAGTAACATACCAGTGCTAGTGACACTTGTCTCTGTGCTGACGGAGAAGGCAGCTTTCAACAGTTGACCAAAGTACTCTACTTCTGCTCTGCTAGCATATACCGCATCTCCAGCAGCGGGCAGGGCAAGGCAGTGGGGTTTTTTTACATGATTAAGCTTTGTGATATTAAAGGAGAAATAACACTCTTAGCTTGTCACCTGAAGCCAAGGCAGGATTGTTGCTTTCAAGTCTTTTCCCATTTCCCAAATGATTGAATATGAATTGCTTCTTTAAAGGGGTATGGAGTCTTCAGCAAAACAGGTTCCACAGGAGAAGATTTTCCTTAATTCCAAATATTCCTTTAATTTCATCTTGTTATGCTTTAGTTACAACCTTTCTGTGCACAAGATGTAACAGTTCCTGATAGATTTGTTCATGTCGTGTGGGTATATTCAAGTCGGTGCTATATGGGAGGCATACCCTATGCGTGGGTTTGGCTGCCTCTCTCGATTCTTCCCTCTATTGTGTGTCTGACTGTAAGCTGAACAGCTGGGCATAGACTGGAAGTACACATTGAGGTGTTGACAAAATCCTCTGTTCAGGCTATTTACAGTTTGGGAAGCTGAGGAAAGCTTTCGGAGTCACTAAGTTTTCAGATTTTTTTCCTGGTTTTAAAGCTTTCTCCAATACTGCCTTCATGTAATGGCTTACTACTGATACAGTGAAGTGATTCACTCCTTTCTTGTCCACCCCCCACACTCCTCAGCAATTCAAGAAAGGAAAATAGGCAAGAAGTAAACTTCAGGTGTTTTCTTATCGGTTTTACACTTTAACTGTTTAGCATTAGTGAGATACTAGTTCTCTAATGCTGAGTGTCTTTTTTGATAAGTTGTCTCGGTGAAGGTTTTTGGCTTCTGTGTTTTCATGGATAATGCTGATTCTACTTAATTCATATACCTCCTTGGCTGCTCAGGTTTAGCAGATCAGACTGGTACTGGTGGTAGGCACAAGTTGCAGGAGAACTTTTTCTGAACAAAAACCTAGAGCTCGGAAGCACTTTGGTTGCAGCTGTACCTAAAATAACCAGCACCACTTTCCTGAATTCTCTAATCTCTAGGAAATCTAAATTTTACAAGCTATTAGCTCGGAAAGCTGCTGTGCTGACAGGCAGATTGGGAAAAGTTTTCAGAGACTGAGAGCTCATCTTCTGTCTATTACCATGTTAGGCAATCTGTCAAAACTACTCTTTCCTTTGCTGCTGAAAATTCCTGCCCTGCTTAGAGGTTCGGGTCTGAGATTATTTTGTGGTAAGGGGCTTTTAGTTATGAGCTTTGTGAATACAGAGGATCAGAGTACATTGACCTTGTCTCTTCTAGAACACAATGCAAGATAGATTTATTTTTTTAAAAGAGGCAGCAATTTTTTTTCTTTCTTCTTAACTGCAAGTATCTCTATAGACCAGTCAACTGAGCAGAGGAAGAATGGAAAAATCTCATTTGGTGGACACTTGAATTTCTCAATTCTTATTTTTAGTGCCTAGATATACTGGTGACTAGTAAGCGTAGGAATTAAATAATTGATGTCATAAGAAATATTTCCAGTTATGGGTACAAAGGAGTTGAAGCTTACAGCATTGATAGTGGTTCTGTTCTATCCAACACTATGTAGGCTTGTGATTGGATATGAAGGCATTTTTTCCCTTGATTAAAGCCACAACAGAAAATGTTGAGGTAAAAATGAACAGAACCCTTATCATGACCTCAAAGGAGGACTCTCTTTGTGTTTATAGGATTAGTCTGCTTGTATGCCATTTGTACCTCTGCTTATAGACTGAACATATTATTACCAGATGAAGGCTGTTCTGAACAGATAGCGCAAAGAAAATTTTACCAGTACTAAAGTACACTGTGGTCTTTTCGATCCCGTGAGTGCCAAGTCCTTTGTTAGCACTCTTCCCTGTGTGATACACTGACTTGCAGCTCCCCCTCCCAAGCTTAGTGCAGTATACAGTAGTGGAAGGATTTTTTTTTTAACACCTTCCTTCAGAACTAGTGCAGAGCTTTAATCCCAAAGAACAGAAGTCTCCCAGGGTGAGGCAGGAGTGCCCTAGCTGCACTAATCTGCTTACAGGAGGTGCTCACACTGTCCCAAGGTACATTCTGTTTGTCAGGGTCACTGCTGCTGACCAGCTTTTTTTATAGAGGACTCAGAGTTTCAGAAATATATTTTTGTAGACGATGACTAAACTGTGAAACATTGAAATAAAGCATGTAAACAAAAACTTAAAGCACTGTCCTCTGTACAGATGTTTTCCTCACTTCAGCTCTCTCCTTACTCATTAGAAAATGTTTGATTACTTCTTGGATATATTTTAATAAAGTTCTCCAAAGAACATGGGTGCTGTCTATGGAAGGGGTGGCCTTAGATACAGTATTGAAATGGAGGGTTGAAAACCTGTACAGGTGAGTGTCTGCATCAGTCCCACTTTTCTCAAATTGGGTAAGTTGGATCTTCCGCACAATCACCCCCTGGATCACCCACTCTGGCAAATTACTTTCTTTGGATTCTGGAGTATTGACTGTCAATCAAGGCTGTGAAGGTGGCAGACTGGGGAAGAAGCCATGTTCACAGGTTAAGGGACAGCTTTGGATGTAGTCTGGTGTTTACTTATGTGACTTCTCACAAGTTGAAATTGTGGTAACTGGTTTTGCAGCCTTTTAAGTGTGTAGTTTAAATATACATGTGTAAGCAGCAGTAGCTGCCTGCCTTTTACAGCAAAATAGTATTTTAAATGAATACATAAAATTAGCCCATGAAATGAATTTTTCTAATGTATAATAAAAGCCAGTGCAACAGAATTAGCACGTGGTTAGGTATTTCATAAATCAAAGTTAATTCATGTTTTATGGCCTATGCTCCCTGTGTCAATCATTAATGAAAGTTAGGAAACCCCTTCTTGTTCTTGGTGGGTTATATCACTATTTGTCTAGCTGGTGCTGCACACCTTTGGAATATCTAGCACCATGCTTAGGAAATGGGAAATGCTGGCCTGCTTTATCATGGCATTTTCAGTCTTGGTGGAATGGAGACATAGAACCACTTGGCATCTTTCACATAGTGGTACTATTTCTAATACACAGCTGATGATCTTACTGTTTCAGTAAAGAAACTTAAGACATGAGGGCAAAGCCTGCACTTCAATGAATGTAGTACTGATCTTGGATTTATCATGGCAATCGCTTAGACACAAGACCTAATTACCCTTCAGTAATGTTTCATGCAGATATTGGCTCCTGTACTTAAAAAAAAACCAAACCAAAAAAACCCTCAAAACAAAAAAAACCACCACCACCCCAAAAAACTGGTGGGAGGGGTTAATAAAGCTAGTGGTGTGTAGTAAATCAAAATGCACAGATGCTGCACAGCAGAGGAGGATAGAGCAGAGTTCTGATTACACTAATATTTGTTCTTAAGTTCTGTGTAGCAAAGGCAGACCCCACTTCCAAAAAAAAGGTCTTGAACCTTCTCTTGATGTAATAAAATGTCTTAGAAGCTGTTCAGTATTTTATCTGTGTGCCACCTCAGGACTAAAAGTACACCATAGAGTGCAGATAATGGGATGAAATGATGAAATACACTTCTGAGGACAGGCATGTACAAACTGGTATTGGGCATCGTCTTACTCATTTCCCAGTACAGTATTGCATCCCTCTAACTAGAAAGTAACAAAGATGAAATGTTGTCATCTATTCAAAACTACCTAGCACAATCATTTTGAATAAAGTGAAAGCAAGCAACTTGCCGTTGCTGCTGCTAATTCAGTGTCAGATGTGACTCCCAGAGTGCAAGCACAAGAAGAAAACAATTATTTCCACAAGAATATCCTTGTTTTCTGGTATAGAGTATAGCTCTGCTCCTTATTCCGGTTTCTGTCTGTGTATTTACTGCACAAGCAGAAAGAGATGCAAAGTTGCACATCATTTCTCTAGCAGTATAGGATTCTGAAATATTTTGTGGTTGTTCAAGTATGTCAAAAAGGAGCAGGTTTAGGGCATTGCACTATTCTACATGGGAACTGTTCAAATGTATCAGCTAATCGTGACAGCTGCGTGCCATTAGCATAATGATTTTTTATCTTCATCCCCCAAATAAATGCCTTTTCAGATCTGCCTCACTGAAAAGCAAAGCACCCACACCTGTGACACGCTGCTGTTATTCTAGGGCCAATAGCGTTTACGCCAATCCGAAACATTGAAAACTACAACTCGGATCCCACATCTCAAGCTGTTATTGTACTGGGTGTTGTGTGTGTTTACCTTGAAATTTAGGTAAAAACTCCTTAATTTCGGTGACAA